TCTCCCTTGCTTATTATATCTTCCTAAATCAATTTCACAAATCATTTAACATTTAAGTTCCAAATATTCATCAAAAACACTAAGATCAACATTTCTTTTTAGAACATTCACTCTAATTGGTGTATCAGTGTAAGATGGTGATACTCCCAACAGTTTTTAGTCCTTTTATGTAAGAAAAACATTTTTGTTTAGTAGATTTAAAACCTAAGATTGATTTTAATAATTTTGAAGCTGCATTTTTGTAATCATACACTAAAAAATCTTTTCCATAAACAAAGACGGTGGATTCTTCTTTAAAAACATCATAATATTGATTTGGTGATACAATGTTCTCTTTTTTTCTTAATTTCTGTTAAATTCTTCCAAACACTCTATCCGGTGGCATATAGCTGTGACCACGGACTGGAAATATATGGTTCACTTCATTAAATATTGTGGTTTTATAGTTAACATAATATAAAAGAGTAGTTATCATGTATTTGTTTTTGTTTTGTGCAGAACACGAGTCAGAAAATAAGTTTAATATTTTAGGATAGTTTTCAGGAGATAGTTCCATCTTTATTTTATTTTCTAAATTTGCTAAGAATGACATTAAAGCTAAACATACTTCATCTGGTCCTCTTCCACTCTCAGTTTCCAACCAAGTGTATGTGTAGCAAGTATTAGGATTTTCAATACCTTTAGAGTTTATGACAAATGTAATATTGTACAACCATACTTGACGACAGTAGAACACATCTGTAACACTAAGTTTGGGAAGTGGCTGTGTCTGCATCATGTCAAATGCAACAGATACAACATTATCAGATTTGGAAGCCATTTTTTGAAAAAATTGTTGAGATTTTTTGGAATGAGCTTGTAATTCAAATTTAATTTCTTCTTTTTTATTTGAATCAACTTCTTCTTTCATATTTTTTTTCATTTCAGTACAAAATGAACACACATCCTGTCTAGGATGGCCAAAACTAATATTAAACTTTGACACAAAAATGTGATAATATTTACTAAATGAAGCAACTGGTTTATTATTGTTCTGTCTGAATGTTTTCCACATATTGAACATAATATTCACAGAAAGTTCTGGCTGTAAATAGCTTCTATTAGTATCTTTTCGAGTGTGATGACTCTTTTTTGATTTAAAAGTGCGGATGTGGTCTATTATTGAATTGGTAATTTCTACAGACTGGGCAGTAATTCTTGCTCCACCTCTTTTTTCTACAGGACTTAAGGATGTGTTTTTAAATGTTTTTGAAATTAAATTCAAACGTTTTCTATTAACTGTTGTGATTGATGAAAAAGCATTTAAACAAACTCGAATTTTATCACCTTTGGCATTTGGTATAAAATAATTTACATGTAATCTATCTTTCCTGTTTGTTTTACGGCGATCCTTTCTTTGTACATTTGTAATAGACATCATATCCAGTAAAAACCTATCTTGGTTGATTTTATCAGGTATACTTGCTAACAAACATTTGAATTTATCAATGCTATTATATTCAATTGTGGAAACATTACACACTGTTGAAGATTTTTCCTTATGGGTGCAATTTAATATCCAAGTTTTTTCAATTTTATTCTTCAATTTTTTTCTTATTTCTCGTTGGTGAATTGTTTTTTTCTTTCGTCCGCCATCCACAGTGTGCACTTCATCAATATACTCAAGATCTGAGCTGGGTAGTTCATTACAACTATTATCTCCAGGGTTTTCTTCTTCCAGAATCACAATTTCCATATCATCAAAATTGAATTGGTTATCCTAAAAAATATATGCAATGTTATATCAGGGTTCAGAAATATTAAAAGCAATAAGCAAAAATAAAATACATATTATTAACTTTAATAGAAACCCTGTGATATAATAATCAATCAAATTTGTAACTCACAGTTGTTAGAAAAACAATAATAATAATAATTATATATAAACAATTATTTTAAAAATAAATTTGTAATAAGCTTCAAAAATTAAAAAACATAATCAATTATATAGGTAACTTACATCAGCAACATTTTGGTTTTCAAATAAAGATTGAGTTGGCTGTATATTTAACATTACTGCATTGTTCTAAAATACAATTTTAAAAATAAATTTGCAATAAGTCTCAAAATTCAAATATATAGGTAACTTACATCAGTTATATTTTGATTTTTAAACAAGGATTGAGTTGGCTGTATATTTAACATTACTTCATTATCCTAAAATACAATTTTAAAAATAAATTTGCAATAAGCCTCAAAATTAAAAAAAAAACATTCAAATATATAGGTAACTTACATCAGTTATATTTTGATTTTCAAATAAGGATTGAGTTGGCTGTATATTTAACATTGCTTTATTTGATATATTATATTGAGAAGTTACCCACTAAAAACCATGATTAATAAGGTCATTTAAACAATAACTAAATAAAATCAGAGTGTATGTGAATTTATTGTTACCTCATCAATTCTAGAAGTAGCTGACTTAAACAATTCTCTGGGTTTGTAAAACGAATTTGGTTTTCCCAATGGCATCGAGTTAGATGTTTTATTCTAAAGTTAATTCACACACAACAGGTAAACAAATATGTGACAACATATATTATTATCTTAAATTGATAGGTTCTTTGTTTCAATTTTTTATAGGTACATATTATATTAACATAATGTAATACATTGTACTTACCTTTTTTAATAAAGAACTATTAACGATGAATTGACTTCGTTTTGACATGATGTTTAAGACGTTCAAGTATAAAACAACAAAATACAAAATAATAATAATTCATACGTTTATAACTAATATTACGTTAATGATAAAGTTATTTTGATGATAAAGAAATAATAAGTCAATATTCCTATAAATATAAAATATTAGTGTTCACTGCATACGTATTACGTACTATAAATGTTATTAATAGACGCCATGTTGCTGAACGGACAAGTTTGAGAACTCTTACGCCGTGTCCAACGTAAATCCGAATTGCGTCCGGCGCGTCCGTTTTCGCATCGCAATCGACGCACATTATTGCGACAATCGCATGCATGTCCAACGTCAATTTGCGTCCGATGCGTACAATTTAGAAATCTACGAATTAATTTAAAATAATATAAACCTGCCTTCAGTGCTCACAATAATTGTGAACGTGATCGAGAGTAGTTTAAACGAGTGATTTCTATTTGCCTTTTGATCAAAGTTATATATTTTCAATCATGTCTTTTAGTATTCAGCAAAAAATTATACTTGCAGAGAGTATATGTATTAAACACTATTTGTATAAAAAATACATTAAAAAAAAAACCAACAATTTTATTTTAAAAAATCGAAAAACTTATGGTGAATTTTACCACTTATATAGAGAATTGCGTAATAGTAATGAGACTTTGTTTTACACATATACAAGAATGTCTATAAAAACATTTGATTATATTGTTGAATGTATAAGACCAGAGTTTAATCTTAACACTACCAATTTTCAAGTTCCAATACCTGTGGAGGAAAGATTACTTTTAACATTGCGGTAAGTATGTGTTAGACAGAAATATAAATATTTAATTGTATTATAAATTGTTGTTAAATTTCAATATTGATGGTAAAAAACTTGTCAAAAAACAATTTTTAACTAAAAATTAAAAACAATTACTTCTATGCCTAAAGAAAACTTTGAAAAATTAACTATTAAAAAAACAGCCATGCATTAATTCTGGAAAAACATAAATCAAATAGAAAACAAATATTTTAATAACTATAAATACGTAGAATATAATACTATTTAATTTTAATAGTAATAATAACAAACTTGTCTAAAAACTGTTTAAAAAAATAAAATAAATAAAAACAATTACTTCATTGCTTAAATAGAACTAAAAAAATCAACTAAAAATCAAATAAAAACTTTTTTTTCAAACTATTAAAAATAAACAGCCATGACTTTATACTGTAAAAACATAAATCAAACTTAAAACTTAAAAAACAAATTCAACAACTAATATTACGTAGAATTAAAATTTTGAACATCAAAGTGAATGTAATCTTCATTAAATTGACCAGATCTTAAGATTTGTGATGTAACTACAGGTGCAATAGAAGTATCATTAATATGTGTGATATTGTATGTCGACGTATTTGTGATTGGTTGAACTTTTGTCTGTGATAACTCATTTATTATTGTGTTTTGAAATTGATTTCGTATACGTAGTTTTTGTATAGCGTGCATGTTTTTAAAATATGGATGGAGTGATTTAAGAAACAACATATCATCATCATCAATTGGAGTAGTTGTATTATTTGATTGTAGCAAAGCATTTAATTTTTGGGTTTCTATCTGTAGTAACTCTTTTTCAAAATTTTTTTGATCATCATTTCTTTTTTTCTTTTTTTTAGGACATGATTGTAAGTTAGTAGAATAGCTTGAACTATTTGTAATTTGAGTATCCAAATTCGAACTTTCTGATTGGGTCAAAGATGATGGATTTTCAATATTACTGACCCCAGTTGGACTTGAAATATTTTCATAACTTCCATCATTAACATAATTATTACTAACATCGTAATTATTCTCGATTTTTTCGTTCTCTGATGCATCTGAATCTTCCTCTATCCTTTCCTCTTCACATTCAGAAACATTATCTTCCGTTATTCTAGGTGCTGTTGTATCTTTTAGAAATAATAATAAGTTATAATAATTCCACCGTCCTGTATATATTTCCACACACTCTTGAGGATCTCCTGACCGACTTTTAGTAACCTTTTTTTTTTTCTTTTAAAAATGTATCCCTCAAACTCCTCCATTTTTTTTTAGCTTCATCCTCTATAAAATAGAAACAGAAGTAGAAAATAAACACTATATTCATATCTATTAATACATTTACTTTGTTAAAAAATCGTATGCAAGACGATATTTTTTAAATGATTTTTTTTTATTTTACATAATTTATTTAAAATATAAAATATAGTAAAAATATCCTCAACAGTTGAATTGTCAAAATTCATTATAAATGAATTATTTTGTTTATTCTAAACAGGTATTTAGCAACAGGAATGGCTTTTAGACAACTAGCTTTATCGTTCAGAATATCTAAATCGGCAGTAGCACAAATAGTTATAGATGTATGCAAAGCTATTTGGTGTACTCTAAAGAATAAACACATGCCTACTCCAACAGTAGAAAAGTTTAAGAAAATAGCAAACGAATTCTATGAAAAATGGGATTTTCCTAATTGTGTGGGCAGTGTTGATGGAAAGCATATAAGAATAAAATGTCCTAAAAATTCCGGAAGTATGTTCTACAATTATAAACAATATTTTTCAACAGTTTTAATGGCAGTTGCTGACGCCAGATATAGATTTACAATGATAAATGTGGGCGCTTATGGTAAAGATAGTGATGGCAGTATTTTGTGTAATACAAATTTTCACCAACGTTTAGAAAATGGTACACTAAAATTACCTACAGAAACAAAACTGCCCAATTCAGAAATATCAGCCCCTTATGTATTTGTTGGAGATGAAGCGTTTCCTCTGAGAAACTATTTAATGAGGCCATTCCCAAGAAAGCAAACACAAGAAACTAACAAATCGTACTTTAACTATAGACTATCTAGAGCCAGAATGATTGTCGAGTGTGCATTTGGTATCGCATCTTCAAAGTTTAGGATTCTATTGAAGGCAATAGAAACAAATGTTGAAAATGCTGATCACGTGGTGAAGGCGATTTGTATATTGCATAATGTTATAATTGATTGTGAAAAACATGGATCTTCTAATCAAAAAAGCACAAATACACAAAGTGAAACAAATCTAAATAATAGTCAATTAATGGGAATAAATCCAAGAAGTAAATCTAATAACCGTGCATCTCGTACAGCTATTCAAATACGTAACAGTTTCGTACAGTTTTTTCAAGAGAGTAGAATTTAAGTTTAGTATGACATAATATTATAATTAATTATATCAGATGTATATTATAATAATCAATTCCTTTTTTTTTATTAAAATTAATGTTCTAATAACTTGTACAATTTTTTAAATTGTAAATTCTAACATTGAATAATTATTTTTCAAATAGTTTGTACAAAATCTTTAATCAGAAATTAATTACTTACTATCCATTTTAGTTTTCTCAGCCACTGCATTCCATTCTTTATCACTCACAATTCTGTCTCTATATTTTTTATGCCATTTATTCCATAAAACGCTTCTTTTTTGTACTTCCGATATTAACAGCTCCATTTTAATATTTAAATTTGTGTTTTTTAAATTATATATATTAAAATAATTGATAAATAATATAAATTAATGATTATACAACAAGGTGTTTATTTTGTATGCGTTAATATTATGTGAGTTCGTTGATAAACGCAGTGCGTTGCGTTCTTGCGTTTGAAAACAAAATTATTTGTTTTCAAACTAGTGCGTCGAATACGGCTGATGCGTTATCGGTCGTATCGGACGCACTCGCCGTCCAGTTAGGACACGTCGAATCATGTCTACGGTTTTGATTAATATTTTCATCGCATTGACCGCAACGCACTGCGTTAAACGCATTTGACGGATTTACGTTGGACACGGCGTTACGGTATGTCCTACGTGAACGCGGCGAACGCGAATTTGCGAATGATGCGAACGAATTCGCGTTGGCCGCATTCGCCGCTCGCAATCGTGTCCTACCTATTTGCGGCGAACGCGAATTTGCGGCTGACAATATTCCGATATTTTTTGTTTTTT